ATATGTAACTCCAAAAACTGGTGGAAATTTTGGATTAACTAAATAATACAATAATTAAATTTCTACAAATAATTGACAAACATTGTTCTCTGCATTTTAATTAATTAAAAATAAATTATTTGGTGATAAAAAGTCAATCACTGATTTAAAATAGTAATATTTTTCTAATGAAATAGTTAATGGTAGCTAATTATTATTTTTTCCAGTCAAATTAAATTCCTCGCTATTTACCATTTTGGAGACTGGTAGACACACTATTGAATGTATTTGTAGAAACTAAAACCCGTCGAAGACGGGTACGACAGCTAGTATTAAATAATTTTAAAACTTTATGTAGTTGTCAACAGTAAAATAAAAGAACAAAATTAAAAATATAAAAACTTTAAACTATAAAACCAAAAGATTTATTTTATACACGGAAAAACCTTTGAGAAGTCTGCCTTCCCACTGTCACAAAATTTCGCTTCTCACTGCATGGAAAGTCTGATCGCCCGCCACTGGGTGCGTAGCATTACCGTTTTCGATAGACAAACTTCCCAAAAAGTTTAGAAAATTACAACTGGGTACGTTGGTCACCCAGTTTGGGAGTGCAGATGAACAAGTTTAGTGGTGGCGCTGACGCATAAGTTTCGGGTGAGCAGACTGCTTAAAGGTTTTTCCGTGTAGTTAAAATCTTTCGAAAATGTCAATACACAACTGTTTAGTTACTGAAATTAGCGGTAGCGCTAACGCCACGACAAACTTTGAAACATAATTTCAAAATTTGAAACATAATTTCTCGGAACGCCAAGACAGTGCCATATCAAAATAACTGTACAGGACTTCTATACAGTAATAATCAAGTTCAACTTTATATTTTTGTCAACAGTGTTATGCACCCACATAGCACAATAGTATGAGGTAAGGTTATGTTGAGTACCAATCGTAAGGCTCATAAGGTTACACGATATTGCTATGGTAGACCTGAGGTGAACTAAAAACTTCCGCCATGGAGGTAAGGTTACATGTTAGGGTGTGGTGACTATATATGATAAGGCCATGGTAACCTTACACGTTAAGGTTGAGGTAACGTTACATGTTAAGGTTGAGGTAAGGTTACATGTTAAGGTTGAGGTAACGTTACATGTTGAGGTTGAGGTAAGGTTACATGTCAAGGTTGAGGTAAGGTAATTATTAAGTTGTAAGGTTGAGGTAAGGTTGTGATAAGTTTACCAGTTATAGAAAATATTGAAAAAATAATTAATAAATAAATATTCAATTAAAATGTTAAGTTTGTTGCTCTTCTCTATTTTGAAAACCTGACATGAAGCAGAAAATTTTGAAAACAAATTTGGGGGGACTGGGATTCGAACCCGGGATCGACGCGCATAAACCCAGTCCTCCCAAATTTGTTTTCAAAATTTTCTGCTTCATGTCAGGTTTCCAAAATAGAGAAGAGCAACAAACTTAACATTTTAATTGAATATTTATTTATTAATTATTTTTTCAATATTTTCCATAACTGGTAAACTTATCACAACCTTACCTTAACCTTACCTCAACCTTACAACTTAATAATTACCTTACCTCAACCTTGATATGTAACCTTACCTCAACCTTAACATGTAACGTTACCTCAACCTTAACATGTAACGTTACCTTAACCATAACGTGTAACGTTACCTCAACCTTAACATGTAACCTTACCTCAACCTTAACATGTAACGTTACCTCAACCTTAACGTGTAAGGTTACCATGGCCTTATCATATATAGTCACCACACCCTAACATGTTACCTTACCTCCATGGCGGAAGTTTTTAGTTCACCTTAGGTCTATCACAGCAATATCGTGTAACCTTATGAGCCTTACGATTAGTACTCGACATAACCTTACCTCATACTATTGTGCTATGTGGGCAGTAGCTGTCTAGTAATTCATGTTTCATATTTTTGGCATTAAACAAAATAAAAAATATAACATGAAAATAACTTTATCTAAAGTTTAAAAGCAAAAATTAACAATTATGACAAACATAAAATGAACCAAAATATGAACACAGAATAAAAATTTAGCTGGTTCAATAAACTATTTTTAGGTTATTTTAATATGTCAAAACGAAAGTCAACTTACTTATAATTCCTTATTTTTAACGAACAAAATGTAATTTGTAACTTTAAATATGATTTGCTTCACTCATTTCATAAAGTATGCATAATATTGAAACGAGGAGGAAAGTAATAACGTTACTTTCCTCCTCACTCTCTTTTCAACAAAAAAGTTAAAATTACACAAAATTATACAATAAAATAGGAAATTATTGTGAAACAATTATTAGTTGATAATATATGTAATTAATATGTTTCGAAGTCAGGTTAAGTAGCAAAAGTGACAATTTCAGTTTATCACGTTGCGAATCGTCATGAAAGTATACAGCATTTTTTTTACTGGCTCGTAGAGCAGACAACTTTAATATTCTTAAAATGATAATTCTTTGCTAATTCGTGTGGCTACTGTGTACACATGGCGTTCACAACAAAAATTGTTTTTAATAAACTTGTCTAAGATTTGAAACTCTTTATTACATCGAAATATTGTAGTTGACACCCGTAGCGAAAGAAATCGCAAGTTAACTTATTTTTAAAACCTCCTATTTCAATAAAAAAACATCAATTTTATTTTCACCAATATTTTTCTTTAGTAAGTAAAAAACAGTTTTTCAATTTTGCTTTGAAAATAAACATCCTAGGTTCCGGAAAATTTTGAACATAATCTGCCTACATAAAAACAACTTATATCTGGAATTAGACCAATCTGTCATCCTTTAGAAAAAAAGACATGAGTGAGAAATCTCGAATTTAAATCGAAAATAATCGAATGTACTCTCGCAGTTATAGCAATGAAAATAAAACATAGAAGGGCACACTCACATTTCCAAATCTAAAGAAATATAGTACCTTAAAAACTCATACATAGTTAGAAGATGGATCTACAGTCGCTCTTTTCAATATCATTATGAAGTGGCAATTTTTATTTTAATTAACTTAACTTTAGAGAAACTAAATAAAAATTTAGGTAATTTTAAATGAGTCACAATAAATAATTTAATATTAAATAAAAGGAACAATTTGAATAGAAAAAAAGAAGAAAGCAAAAAAGTCGACCGCGTAGCGGTTGACGAAGCACTATAGTTTCTTAAAAAATTGAAGTGATTCAATAAAGGACACTCTCGCCTAAATAATTAATATAGGAATATTGTACCTAATTAAATTTCTTTTTCAGTCAACCAAAATCGTTACTAATATCAAAAACTTATGTTTTAAAAAAATATTCAAACTTTTGTATTTTTAGTCAAACAATAAGTACTGAAAATTATTTGAATACAATGATAAAATATAATTGCTTATAGAAAGATAAATTTCGGATCTATAATAAAGCAATTTAATTGATACAAACAGAAAATTATTTTTATCAAATTCTACTTATTTAAATGTACTACAATAGAAGAGAAAAAAAACAATTTTCTAATCTAAGAAAACCTCCTATCACCAAAAAGAGTCAATCTAATCTTTTAAGAAAACACAAAATTTGAAGGACAAAAAAATATGGCGTTTCCTTTCTCAAATGGATAATCATTTTTTTTGCACGATGGCAAAAAAAATATCATAAAGTTGACCAAAAAAACTTCTCGAATCATTAAGGACAAAAAAGGTCCTTTTGTTTTTGATTTTCAGAAAAAAATTCGACACAAAATTGAAGAATCATTTCCAGAAAAAAAGAAGAAAGATTTTCAGAACCTTCCGCGATATTCGATTTTTAAGGTGTCTCGGTCAATGTGGAATACCGGCTTCGAGTAATGCGCATGATCTTGGAAACCCTTTTTAGCAGAAAAGATTGAAAGGATTCGAGAAGCGAATGCGCAAGGATTTAACTGACTCCAGCATATGATTGATCCAAATTAATCATTAAATTACCCTAACAGGTGACAAACAATTTCAATTTAAAATCTCAATTTCTTTTCTTTGATAATCCGGTCTCAAAAAAGGTAAAAGATATAATTTTACAATTACATTATCAATTTTAATAAACACTTTTTTCCTATTCGTCAACCGATCATTTCAAATGTCACAAGCGGAGGCGAAGGAAAATTTTGAAATTCCTTAGTTCGGTGTATAAATATCCTCTTAGAGTTGTATATAATCCAAAATATGTTTTCGATTTTCGAAGATAAGTTAACAACCACAATGAAAGATAAAACTGATAAAAAGATGGAGAGATGACTAAATCCAATCCGGCGAAGAGATAATCAATGAAATATTGCAAATAAAACATTTTCTAATATTAGTTTCAGTTTTGACCACTGGGGCGTTCATTTTCCAAAATCTCCTCGAATTTCAACTCTTATCTTTCACACTGTTTTATTACCTTTTTTAACCATTCTTCTTTTATTTCTTATCTGCTTTCTATTTCACCTTATTATTTCCTTTTTCTCCCTTTTTAGCAAGATTCTTTAGACAATTATCTTCTTTCTTTGATTCTCAATTCGAAAAATCACTGATTTCGGAAAAAAAGTTATTTCTGCTCTTAAAAATAAAGATGGTAAAATACAGATTTTCCAAAATAAGACTTTTCCTTAACACAATAAAATTGAAAAAAGCTTTCATTTACACTTTCACAGGATCTTTCTTAATCACCATTAAAGAGCAAGAAGCGCTGAACACTTCAATAATGAAGAACCACTCGAGGAAAAAAAGGTGAACACTGAAATTGAACAAAAGCCACTGGGGTTGGAATCACATTGAAAAAGGGAAAAAGCACCGATTAAACTTTTAGAACCTGCCCCACTTCATTCCTGACACTGCAGTAGTATTTCCCTTGGCAACAACCCCTCCCAGAGAGTAGTAAATTATTTTCACTGTAACGCTAAAGAAAAAATCCCCCTTACTTAATAATCCACAATCAGCTGATCACTTTCCTAATAGAATAAATAACTTGAAATAAACCCTGGACTCTTGACTCACCTTAAATTTCTCGCCTCTCAACAGATCCTAGAAGTGAAGGGAAATGGATTTTTTGAAACCTCACGAGAGGAGAGACAAACTCTCCTCCCTATTTTTTCCTTTTTTCGATTTCCCTTTCTCCTGTCGTGTGTGTGTTATTTTCCTGCTGCTAGCCCGGAAACAATAAAAAAAACCGCCGTCAACGGAACGAGAGGGTGGAGGAGGAAAATTTTGTCCGCAGGTCTCGTGAAAAATAAAAAAAAATTTTCTCTAGTCCTTTTTTTCCTTTTGATCTCGAAAAAAGTGCGGAAATTAAAGACAGCAGCTCGCAGTGCGGGCTGCCGGCTCTCTGACAGTCTTAGAGGCCCCCTCACTTGCTGCGTCGGTTTTTCGCACACAAGAGAATTCCCCTCATCCCCACTCTCTCGATCAACCACGCAAACCCTCTCGCCGGTTTCAGAGAGCAATTCCGTACTAACTCCTTCCCCTTCACTCTGTATAGTGTATAAAATGATACCATGGTTTAAAGGCGCGTGCGCGAGAAATTTTCATCCCTCTGGCTGGCTTTTGGACATTAGTGAATTAGGGCGCATGACAATCGCAATATCCACCACCGTGGCGCGATGCAGCTGACAGCGATAGCGAAGGAAACTATGTATGAGATCAAAAATGCATACACCGGCCGGTGTCGTGAATAAATTGCATAGGGGGTCACTGCATTAAGCTCGACTAAAATCAACAAATTGATTCCTGTTATGCCCAATTCGATCATTTTTATATTGAAGGGAGACAATTTTGGATTTTACTTCATTTGAATAGAAGAGAAAGAGCAAAATTATAATACTGAAGCTGAATCAACCAAAAATTGTCCCTTAATATACATTAAAGCAAGACCTTCTCATTTTTTATGAGAATGTAAAAATTTGATACAAACCTTTACTAGCCAACTGGCTAATAACTGGAATGGATGTCACGCTTTTTTTTATCAAGTTATTATATAGCCCAACTTTATAAATTCTGGTCAACGCTTCTGCAGAAAAACTAGACAAATTATTTCTTTTAAAATACTGAAAATTTGTTTAATATGAAGATTTACTGTAGTTAACATATTTATTTCATGCAATTAATATAAAATTTCTATTTAGCACCAAAAAAATTCAATGAAAAATATTTTTGGAAAATTTCTGTATCCTTGAAATATATACCGTAAACTGGGGCCATTAGGAACAGATTTCAACTTTAAAGTCTTGCAACTTTTTTGTGTATTGAAATATTGCCTAAATTTTTTGTTTCTTTTCTTGATCTTGGCGAGCACATTGAAAGGTTAAATAATTGTCTTGATCAAAGCTGGAATTTTAAGCAAAAAAGTCGAAAAACACGCATTTTTTCGAAATTACAAAATGGGGCTATTAGGAACAAGGTAGTAAAAACCATTGGAAAACGTATTTAAAGTTAAAGAAGTTATTTTTTATTGCTTCAAAGTAAACACAGAGTATAAAACAAATGTAAAAACAAAATTAAAAGAGCGAATGTGTGTTTTAAACGTTGCTGGTATCATCAGTTGAGGCCGATGATGGAATCACTGGTGGTTTTTTACGACTTGTCGTTCCCAACACTCTTTTACAATTTCGAACCATCTTTGAACGCTAAAAACCAAATTAGGTGATAAAAAACAAAAAAAATTACAAAAAACTTTCTTTTTGACAACACACTTTAACAATTCGGAAGAAATAATTGTGTTCCTTATATATACCCGCCGTTTGTGAATTTTGTTTTTTGTTTCTAAAATCTTACTGTAAATACAAAATAAACATATTTATTACTTAGTGAACTCAATAAAGTTTCCCATAAGAAATCCCATTAATAAAAAACAATCACATTGAGAAGATAAAAATGAAACAACTTACCTCAGCAATCAAATGTTTTCCAGGTTTGAAACTTCACTAAAACACATTAAGTCACTAACAAGCTACTATTGTTCACAAAATAATTAATAGTCACAATTATTGCATTGAAATGTGTTGCCAGTTACTGCAGCAACAATTTTTCAAAAGCAAGTAAAACAATTTATCGATGAACGGCGCCGATAGCATCAACTCCACCCGAAAACAGAATTTTGTTCCTAATAGCCCCGGTGTTCCTAATAGCCCCAGTTTACGGTACATAATTAATGGAATGGAATAAAAAATAATATAATAACATATTATAATTTTTAATTAATTAGTTGAATTATTATATAAAAATAATGGAAATAGTAAATTATGACATGTAATTTCCTACATTACTTTTTTATTTTTAAATTCAATTAAAAAAAAATTCTAAATTCGAATATCCTAAATATTTACTGTTTTCAAACAACTTTCATTTTTTTAATGCACTATTATTAACAATAACACTGAAACAAATATTTTTTATTAGTATAAACAATTATAATCTATATAAACCTTAAAACGATAACGCAATTTCACCGAAAAAATCTTGGGGGGTAACGGGGAGCGAACTCGGGTCCTGCTGGACTAAAGTCGCATTACTTAACGCACTCAGCCGTTCAACGCAATGGATACTGAGGATTAAGAATCACACATGTTTCAGTTCAGTGCCGTAAGTAGAGATTTTATTAATTTATTATTAATTAATATTATTAATTGATTAATAATTAATTAATAATGATAAATTAATTAAATTTTTAATTAATAACAAATTAAAATGAAAAGTTTTAAAATATTTGAAAAAATAAGAACAAATTTATCTCTAGAAAATAATCAGTCGAGCTGTCCTGTTATTGGACATTATTGCAGTGTCATCGATATAACAAACTTAGAACTATAATTTCTAGGAGTACTTTAAAGTAACATTAAAAAAACTAGACAGAAGTTATGTATAGCCAATATCAAATTCAACTTGAATGCGTTGTACAGGCATTCGTCCGTCTGGCAACCAGGACGGGCCAAATTTTGTTCCGAAAGATGACTTTCTACTGGCGTTCTACTGGCATTCGTCCGCCTAGCAAGCGACGCGGGACAAATTATATTCTCTATTGAAAAATAAAATAAAAAAAAATATTTAATTAACTATGCATGGTGCATGTTAATTAACATTTATTTATAGATCATTTAAAGCATTTTTTACACATTTTACATTTTTTTTACACATTAAAATTCTAAACGCTCGCAGTGGGATACGAAGCCCAAGCCTATCCTATAATCTACGCACCGAAGTCTAATGCGCTAACCACTACGCTATTCGCTCGCTTGCGGATGTGAGCAACACAACGCCAATATACAATACCGCTAAACAAAAACTTATATATAAAGTGAATAATAATTTTTACTCAAAAATTTTTCAATATTTTAGCATTTTATTTATATTATGCAAATAAATTTAAAGTTTTATTATATTTTTATTTAATCTTCAATGTTTTTAATATTTATCTTTATTTTATTATTTAGGAATATAATTAGTTGAACACTTAACCTTATAACTATTCAAAATCAATACAAAATTAACTGAAATAAACATTTGTAACTTAGTGCGTTTCATTTATACTTTAGAAATGTTTTTGAAAAAGAGAAAAAAATGAATGTAATTAATTTGAAAGAAATATTAAATATTAATTAACATTCACCTTGCATAGTTAATTAAACATTTATTTTATTTTAATTTTTAATAAAGAATATAATTTGGCCCGCGCTGGTTGCTAGACGGACGAATGCCAGTACAACGCCGGGTGCTTGGCGGGCTGAACCTGCACCGAGCCGGACGCATTTTGCAATAGAATCACAGTGCGAATGTACTTTCGGCTCTTTAAAAATTAATAATACAAAAAATGTTGAAAGCATGATGGATTAAATTTATTATTATTATTAATTTTTATTATAAAAAATAAAAATAGCAAAACTTGTCAGATTTTAAAAGATATTTGTGGTAAGATTTTTAAAAGCGAATTTATAAAAAAAATTATCCTATATAAAAATAAAACTAATTTGAAAACTAGTAACAATTACTATATTCTAAGCATATTCTTATTAATAAATTAATGAATTAATAATTTTTAATTCACTTATTTATTGATTTATTATAAATAAATAAGTAAGTAAATAAAATTAATTAATATACACGGAGAGAAATCTGTTAGGATTAATGCTCGAAACTTTTCACATACTTTTTCCATAGATTCGTTGATGCTAAAATCCTATAACAGAGAGCCTATTTATTGCTCGAGTCCGCCTGAATATTAGGCGGAGTCGACTGATATTCCGGCGGACCTCTTATACTTTTCGCTAGTAAGTGCTTATGCTATATTCATAACCTCTACTCTATGCATTATTCGCAACAGATTTCTCTCCGTGTATTAATAATAAAATAAATTATATAGTTCTCAGTCGGTAGAATGCCTGTACCGCTCGGGTCGTTAGACGGACGAATGCCAGTACAACGCCGGTTGCGAGGTGGTATAAATTTTGATCCGGCGGTCGGATCAAATCTTGTACCGCGCCTGTACTGACGACAGTAGAAAGACTGTACCGAACGTCGGATCCAACTTTGTACCGCGCCAGCAGACATTCTCATCCGAAGCGGTACAGACTGCCTGCACTGGCATTGACTCTCCAATTCAACCGGCGCGGGCGCTAGACGGTTGGACGATCCGGTATTCGTCCGACTTTTCCGCCTGGGACGCTGAACACGCTCCCGACTTCCAAAATTGCACATCACGTCAGGATTTTGAGAAAAGTGGGGGAAAGACCCCAAAAACACTTTTTTAGGATTTTCATCATTTTTTTTCTCTTTAACCTGACGTGCTAGAGACTTCCACAAGGTCTTTAATTAAAGCTTGTAATGTGAACTACAAGACCCATATCCATAAAATAAAAAAAAATAAAATTTTTTTTCAAAAAATGGGGTTGAAGACACCAAAAATGTGTGTTTTTGGATTGCTTTAATAGACTTCTTGCAATTGCTTGGATTCTCTTGAAAATGGTTACTTGGGGTTTTTGGGGTCGCTGATTACGAATCCGATATTAGTTTTAAAACTTCAAAATGGCGAAACCAAAATGGCAGATGTAAAAATTAATAATTGCTTGGATTCGCTTGAAAATTGTTACTCCGGGGTTTTTGGGGTCGCTGCCCTAGTAGAAATTTGTCATAGTATCTTTAAGGGCACTGGGCAGTTCCACTGGAAAATTTCAAGGCACTTTACAGTTAAACTGGCTAAAAACTATAAAGTGATGTCACGCTAATTTCTTCAAGTTATTGTCCAGTCAAATTTTACAGTTTCTGATCATCAGTCCTGTAGAAAAACTATACAAAATAATTCACTTGGAAATGTCAAAACTTTCTTTATATTGACGTTTCGTATTAAACACGTACAAATTTGAAAATATAACGTTAAATTTTTTTGTCCACAAATTAAATAAATTAAAATTTTACAAAACTATATTTTTACTGTTGGTGTATCTATT